GTTGACTCTATTTTAAGGAGGCAGCTCTTCCCCCATCATATTATAAATGCCTTCCGACCTGAGGAGTTTATCTTCCGACATTGTTTCACTCCTATTCATAAGGTTTTCACTGGTCAATTTTTATTTTTTTTAGAAGTAGATCACCAGGTCTTTTTTCCTAGTCTCTCTTAGTCTGGAAGTCCTACTAAAACCTGTCCACTATGAGTAACACTAAGGAGCTCTGCTAACGTAGTGGTTATGAATCAGAGTGCAAGCCTCAAGGTCAGCAGTTCAAAACTACCAGTTGTTCCGAGGGAGAAAGATGAAGCTTTCTGCTCCCGTAAAGATTTACAGCCTTGGAAACCCTGTACAGTGTCACTATAAGTCAGAACTGACTACACGGCACATAACAACAACAAAATGGGTAACACTGCTGGCATTCCATTGTTGTAATGTCCCCACACACTGTCCGTCAAGGGGCTTCTCAGTCAGATACAACCAGATTTATCAATGGATGGATGTGGTATGTCAGAATTCTGAGTATTCCACAGGAAGTCTACCAGAAAGGTCTTAAGGATGTTGTTTAAGTAGCTGTATTAGTAAGAAACTATGTTAATCAAGCAAGGTCCCAGCAAGCAGCTGATGTCACACATGAATAGAATCATTTGAGCAGGATTAATTAAAGGAATTCTTTACAACTGTGTGGACAGAACGTAGGAAGCCACAAGGGACAGTATAGTATCCCATGGTGTACAACAGTAGGGCATCGTTACCAGCCCAAAGCCTGCAGAGGAGAGGAGGGAGCAGTTACGGCCACTTGGAGACACAGCTATGCTGAGAGGGTCATCTGAGTGAAGGCCTCTGGTGGAGGGACACAGCCAGCCCAGGATGACTCTAAGAGGAAAGCAGCCTCATTGTCCAAACCTAGATAGAAGTCTGAGTACAGCTGATACCATCCAGATAAGTCAGCATCTGGGCAGAGGGCAGGGTGAAGGGGACGAGTAGGTCTCCATTCATATCCAGCAGGGGCTGCCAGTGTAGCACGATAGTGGACTGTCCCTTTACACCCTGTCTTAGTCATCTATTGTTGCCATAACAGAAATACCACAAGTGAGGGGGGTGGGCTTTAACACACAGAAATGTGTTCTCTCACTAGAAGTCTGAATTCAGAGCACCAGCTCTGGAGAAAGGGCCTGGTCTCCTTGTAGCATCTGTAGGTCCAGCATTCCTTGATAATCTCCATGTGCCTTGACATTACTATTTCCTTGCATCTGTGAGCTTCACAGCACAGAGGGCCCAAGTCCAAGGGACATACTCCATTCCAGCTATTCTTTCCTGGTGTGGTGGTAAATCCCTCCTTCTCTGCTCATTTCTCTCTCCTTTTATCTCTTGTAAGGTAAAAAGGATGCAGGTCACACCCCTGGGATTCTCCCTTATAATGGATCAGGGTCTTGATGCGATTAAGGGTGGGATATCTTTAAAGTCTCAAATTGAAGCTGAAGAAAATGAAAACAAGTCCACGAGGGCCAAAATATGACCTTGAATATATCCCACCTGAATTTGGAGATCATCTTAAGAACAGATTTGATACATTAAAGACTGAAGACCAGAAGAGTTGTGGGATGACATCAAGAACATCATACATGAAGAAAGCAAAA